AAGGTGCGAAAGCTCAGCCGCTCTCACGGACGGCCTATTAAAATTATCAGAGACTTTTGCGAGCCTCAGGTGTAGTGATGTAAAGAATTTACACGAGACTCGAACTCGCGATCTACGAGTGCGGGACCATCCAATCGATGACATTCCCCGCTACATCATAGGCCCTGATGATAGAATCGTATCCTGTTGCCCCTTACAGAAGCATTGGGGGCGGGTGCTGTGTGTCAACCTGGACGGGTCCGTGGCTTTTTCCAGAATGTTGAATACACCTTGGGTATTCATAGGTTGGCTTCTCGAAGCCCCAATCTCTTTAGATGATTCGGTGCTCCGCATACCTTGGTATGGTCTGATTTGAGATGGACGACAAGCTCACAGATCATCCAGGAAAGCTACTACATCTTGAAACATTAGTTTGCTCTGTTGGCTCGCTTCAGGGTAATGACTGGTGCCGTGATAAAATCTAAAAGTCGAAGCCAACCCGAACCAAAAAAAAAAAAAAAAACAAGTGTAAACTAAGCCAATATCACTGAGTATAGCTCTTAATAGCAACAAGTATATGTCTGAACAACGATCGCAAGTCATAAGTCTCCCTGGATCCGTTTATCCGTCCGTGTTCCGCGTATAAAACCTCATCATAGCTTTACGCCTCTCTGGCAATGATCCCATTCAGTGACCGGTCATCTTGTCTTCTCTTCTCATGCGCAAAAGCCAAACCCTCTGACGTGACTGCCACAGCCCACAACAATGCCAGCCCAGCGCTCGTAATAATTAGGACTTGCTCGTTCTCGTTGAGCGAGGTCTCTGCCAATATAGTCGATGCCTGCGACAGTTGGACGATAAAGAGTGCAACCCACGAACTCGAGACGATGTAGTGTAAGTTATCGGTCTAAAAATCTTTGGGTAAGCTTACCTCACCCTCACCCATGTATGAATCGCAGTAGCTCAAAGGCACTGGTGTGAGGAAAAGAGAGCAAAAGACGTACCTCAACCTCCTCCAACACCCTCTCCCAAAACTTACTAATCCTCTTCTCGCCCCTGTGCCGCCTGATGACACCCTCAATGCGTTGCATAGGTAGGCAAACAACCAACTCTCCGTAGCCCCTTGCCAGAGCATCTGCAAGCGCAACAAGCCTCTGACCCCTCTCACGCTCCCGCCCCTCCATTGCGCCGAGACTTGACCGAGTTTCAAAGGCCAGACCACGATAGAGGGCGGGCAACTCGCTGAAGTGACCTAACACAGTTCTCCACGTGGGTGGCTGGCGCATAGGTAGACGATGATACAGGTATGTATTCTCCGCCGGAGTGAAAGACCGACCTAAATGGACGGCTGCGGGATAACCACGCTGAGAGGGACCTGACTCTCCAACTTGATTGGGCTCCGTCTGAGAATAGTACCCTGTTTGTGGGGATAGTCATTCGACGTCAATGAAGGAACTTTTGCAATGACAGGAGGCTAGGGTACTATGAGACATAGAACCGGAGCAGCCGTCTGACTGCCCCCCGAAAGGTTTCCACATGAGAAGATAGAGAAAGAGAGAAGAAGGAGGCATACCTTGTTGCACTTGTTCGGCAACACCATCAGGAACGATGGGGGCCACCGGACGCTGAGGCAGTCCTCGGCCACCCCGTGTGCGGCGTTGGTCTCGGTGTCTATGCGACATGATGCAATATGGGCTGATGTAACGATTCGAGAAGCGATCCGATACGACGGCGCTGTACGAGCTCTCTAAATGAGACATTGCGGCGAGGGAAACTTTGAGCGACCGTTTTGTTCGATATAAAGAAGCCTTTGTACGGATATGTTTCTTGTTGTTTAGCGAGGGACTTCGTGCCAGCAACAGATTACAAACCTGAAAGATGCCAAATTTGGCTTTTTGCGTATGTTGAGATGGATCGCAACGACGGGTTAGGAGAAACCCGCCCCGAAAGACTACGTGAAGGACGATATGAAGTGGAATCACGGCCAGGAGAGCCCCGACCTTGAGGGATTGATGATGGAAGTAGACTGAAATCGCGGATGCCCAGGAGAACCCCGCCCGGGAGTCCTGAAGAAGAGAAGAAGACAAGCCAGAATCACGGACGTTCACTAACAATACCGCCGCGCTCTTGGCAAAAAAGACTTCCTGCTTCCTCAGAGGAAGAAATGATGACAAGCCAGACCGTAGTGTTGGCAGAAAGGAATCCTCAGCAGCTCACAGCCCTCCAGGTACGTGGCGAAATCCAAAACCCAAAGGCTCATCGTGTAAATGCCAGAAATTCAATGATCATTAACGCGTGTCGATGGACCCCTCCCCAAACGCCTAGCCAGCATGGTATCTTGCCTAGAATCACACACGAAAATGGAAAACAACCACTAGTCTGCACTCGTCAACTCCTGCAGATGGGAAGACTTGAAAGAGACGGGGGGGGGGGGAGAGATATCGGCGACAAGCCTTTCCCCCACCAAGAGCCCCAAGTCCGTTCGTCATCACCAGATCCTCCGGCCTTCGTTCTGCTTCTCCTACGATACCCGAAATCCGCTTTCCACAAGTCCGCTCTCCTCGCGTCGTCGCGCTTTTCCCGACTTCGACTTCCATAGTGAAAGAACCTCCGATGGGTGAGAGTCAGGTGACCGCTCTCATCGGTACTGAGGCGGAGCTTGGCCCCAACCTTGGGGAGGCTGACCATGCACTTGCGGGGGCGGCATCTGTCCTCCGCCCTTCATGGCCGTGACGTCGGGGCGATTCTCAAGCGGCTGGGCAAAGTTGCAAATGTGGCAGACGACGTCAGTGTAGCCCTTGAAGGACAGGGGTATGACGGGCTAGAATTGGTGGGTTAGCTTTAGATATCTATCTTGAATCTCACAAAGGCTAGTGACATAGAATAAGAGTCGGCAAAGGCTTTGAATGAGAGGTACACATAAAGAAGTTCGTAGAGATGTAGAAAGGAACACAAATGAGTGTGCACACAAAGACTCACAATCCAGCAGAATGTGAACCAAGGGTGGCTCTTGATGACATGGCCAGACATGTTACCGCAGTTGTAACACTGGCAGACCATACCCTCGTAGCCCTCGACAGGCTTACGGAAGGTGTGCTCTCCGCACACGAAGAAGAAGAACATTGCGGCGATTGACCAGACGTATGCACGCTCAGTTGCTATAGCTGCAGGTCGGGAAGCAGCAGTGGCGGGCGGCGGTTGGGTTTGGGCGACCTTTCCGTCGGATGATGGCGGTAAGACTTCCTCCGCCCCGGCGTATCGCGCTTAGGTGGGCTAATAGCGAAAATTAGAGGGGTGAGACAGAAAAAAGCTCTGTAGGTCAGGTCAGTCGACCGGCCAGTGTGTCCTCGAGCTGCGTGGCCTGGGTAAGCGACGACTTTGTTGAACGTCAGAGGTTGCGCCGGGAGTTGAAGGAAGAAGGGACCGTTGGATGCGGAAGGAGCAGTTAACGTTGGCGGAGGAGTGGATGTCCTTAAACGGGAGAAAAGGGCAGGCCGCTCACACCTTGAGGTACCTTAAGGCAATAAATGTAGGTAAGCAATCCAATCCAATGAGCGCAAGAGCTACGTTAAGCTGTATGGTGTGGTGTAGGTACCTTGGGTTAGCTCCTGGCTTTGCTTGCCGAGATGCAGGAATTCCAATTTTTGATAGGTTCCCGACAAACCAACAAGAACCAGAAGGCAAAAGGTTTAGAATGTGGCCCAAGCTTAAGAGGGATTTTGATTGATGACTGGCGGGTGAGGAGAGCAAATGAGGGACGAACGACTTTCTTGCTAGCTTTGGTGTCACGGGTGTGTGCCAGTCTTGCGTGTCCCCTCGAGGCGGTGCATCCTTGGCGATCTAGCTAGTCGCCTCGAACTCGTTGGTGTTCTACCTGTATTCACCTATATCTCCTTGAACGTAGTCATGGGAGAAGTACGAATGGTTTAAAACTCCAGAGACGTCGTTCCCGTGATACATACTCAGGGGAACTATAGGGGTGCATGACAGGAGACCCGTCGTCCGTCTGATACCTTGGCGACAGCAGCAACGCTTTTTAGCTGCCTTCATGCCCTTTAATGCAGTACGTTCGGGTAATTGTCTCGCGTGGAATGGAACTTCATGCCCCCAAAGCTGCGAGGTCCCTCCCCGTTTGGCACCTCTCAGCTACCCATTTCAGCCAATTCGCCTAGCGGGCTGAAAAGTCTAGGATCATCCGCGGATGCCGTTGCCCTCTAGGTTTTCTGTTTGCGACCGAAAAGGGGAAGGGGAAGCTCACTATGCCATTCAATTGATACGTGGAAACCATGTTATCTGCCATGTGCAACTCTATTCACTGCAATTAAACACAAACACTGGCAGTTTCTATGAACGGTGCCGTTCATCGGGGAATTGGAAGCTACAGCTGCTGAAGCTACAGCTGCTAAAGAGGCAGCCTGCCAACCCAACGAGGGCGATCTTCTTGCGCAGGCAGGGCATGTCATCGCCTCCACTCCAGTCCGATGTTTCCGCACCCCATTCTTCCCGCCGTTACCTCCGGGCAAAAAGCACCCGACCGTCAGTGACACCTCAGTCAGTGGCTTGAGTGGGAAAAAGGGTCACCTAGAAGGCTAAGGTAAGCAAAGGTAAGTCTAGCGCCATGCAAGCCACCTCAGGCCCCACGTTCCTTAAAGTCAACCTTCGTGCCTGTGTGGGTGCGTCATCCCAGCACGAGAACCGAACCCCGCGGAACCAACCTAACACCGACCTCCGTCTTCCACCCAAAAAATTTCGGCCAAGCGCGGTCGCAAGACACGACAGTTAACCTCGAAGCCAAGACGTCCGCGACAACAATTGAGCCAATAGCAACGTTATGAGCTCAACATCTTCGCTCTAACCCCCGATTGATCACTACGATATCATTAAGAGAAAGATACTGTGCAAGCAATCCGCGCCTTACCCCGGACGAACACCTGACCACATCAAGAAAACGAGTCACAGCAAAGCTCCTATGCGCCAAACCCCACGATAGCTTCATCGAAAAATCCTCACAACCACCCAAAATGCTCTACGACCTCAACATCCCGTGGTCCCCAACCACATCCCCCGCCGACCTCGACCGCACAATCTCCTTCGCCTCCTCCCTAGGCTACACAGTCCTCGCCCTCAACCACACAATAACGCCCCCGATCCCCTCGCAAATCACAAACCCGCTCCCAAAGTTTCCGCAGTCACAGTCGACAACAACATCACCACCAACGGGGACGATGACACCAAACACCTCCTCCTCCTCATCACAACAACAACAAAACAAACACCAACCAACAATCCTCCACCGCGCAACAGTAACCCTCTCAGACCCCTCCCAAAACTACCGCCTCCCAACCCTCGCCCTAGCCTACGACATCCTCGCCGTCCGACCCACCACAGAAAAGGCTTTTCAAGCAGCCTGCCTCTCAATGTCCGAGCCCTCCCTCATCTCCCTCGACCTGACGCAGCACTTCCCCTTCCACTTCCGCCCGAAACCACTCATGGCCGCCGTCGCCCGCGGCGTCAAGTTCGAAGTCTGCTACTCCCAGGTCCTCACCACCTCTTCTTCATCTTCTTCTTCTTCGGGAGGCGGCGTCGGCCCCCCACCCGACGCAAGAGCCCGTGCAACATTCATCTCCAATTTTGCCTCGCTCGTCCGCGCGACAAAGGGCCGCGGCATCGTCGTCTCCAGCGAGGCGCGCGGCGCGCTGGGGTTGAGGGCGCCCAACGACGTTGTCAATTTGCTCGCTGTGTGGGGTCTCGGGAGCGAAAGGGGCACCGAGGCGTTGGGGGTCAACCCGCGTGGTGTTGTGGTCAACGAGGGGATTAAGAGGAGCGGATTCCGGGGCGTCGTGAACGTGCTCGAGGTTGGGGGGCGGGAGAGCGATGTGAAAAAGAACCAGCAGCAAGGGCAGCAGGGGAAGAAGGGTAAGAAGCAACAAGGCGGCGGCGGCGCAGGTGGTGGTGGTGGCGGTGATAAGGGCAATGCGCAGAAGCGCAAGACGCCTGATGAGGGCGGTGATGGCGCGCAGCCCACGATTAGCAAGAGACAGGCCAAGAAGTTGAGGCTAGCTCTTAAGGAACAGGAAAAGGAGGCCTCATAGACGGACAGGTAAAGCATGAAAAGAAAGAAAGGAACAAGAGAAGAAATATGGCGTGAGAATGGCATAGGTAGATACTGGGTTGGGCGGATGTCAGTTACGCTTTATGATACCCCTTAGAAGAGAGCAACATCGAACCTCTGTATCATGAAATCGATACTTTTTACAACCTTACGACGTCAATGATGGATTCACTGATGTAAAGAGCAGTCAGTCATTCGTCCCTCACAACACAGCAGGATGCACTATGAGACTCATCCATGTCCTTTCGAATGCCATCGTATAAATAGTATAGGGGGGTTGGAAATGGGGATTCAGGTGGTTGCAAGTGTTTTGGTGTTGCCTCTTGTTTTTCGATGTCTTCAAGAAATGAATTATGTACAACCGTTGGGGGGGATATGTGTGTAAGTTGCTCAACTTCTCCAAATCCCTCTCCATCTTTCCATTACACACGCCACCATGTTGGAGCTTTCCAGAAAACCAACCTCATCACGCGCGAGCAGCCAGTCGAGACGTGTGGTCGTAAGGAGAGTGAAGGGTGGGTTTTGTCTGACGCTGCCTCCTTTTCCACCTTACTCGCTCTCTCGTCTATACCACCATGCCGAACCGAGATCTCCTTCCCCTATTTCACCATTAAAAACCCCTTCCTTCCAACCAACTTCCCCCTCATTCCAAGAATCGAAAAATCTAGGGTATTTCGTATGCCGTTGCTGAACCACTTTCAAGTCGTCAACGACGTCGCCTAGGTACGTCTTACGCATACGCAGCATATGCAACCCAATCTCTCTCCCCTGGGTACCACCTCACAGTCCGATTAAAATCCTTACGCGGCACGTTGCCTGTCGGTCGGAGATTTCGAATAAGTTGTCGGTACTCTAAGCTGGGGCCGTCGCGCGAGCCTGGAGCTGGGCAGTCGCCTGCAAGAGATTGCCAAGCTGAAGAGACTTTGTCAATGCAAGACCGCTGACGGCGACCTGGGGTTGAGCGGGGTTCGCGGCGATCGGGGCGACGGGTGTTGCTGCAGCGGGCGGGTTGGCAGCACCGTTGCCGTTGAGGCCGCCCAGGTTGACGGAGGCGGACGGTTTGCTGACAGCGGGCGCGTTGCCCACAAGGGGGGCAGCCGGGGGTTGAGGGGCAGCGGGAGCTGGAGCAGGTTCTATCCATGCCATGTTAGTCTATCCTCGAGACTGTCTTGGATCGTTGAGTACTAGAAAGTCACTTACGAGCTGCTGCGGGAGGCGGGGTGGCCGCAGGAGCCGCCGCAGGGGGCGGGTTTGATTTCAAGCCCGCGAAAGGATCCGTCGGAGGAGGTCCCGGAATGACCAGAGGCGCTTTCGACGCCGCAGGAGCGGCTGGCGGTGCCGCGGGGGCTGCGGGAGCTGCAGGAGCGGGAGCCGCAGGTTGGGCAGCAGGAGGAGCTGCCGGGGGAGCTGCCGGAGGCGGAGGCGGAGCAGCAGCGGGCGGCGTCTGCGTGACCAGTTGCGTGATGATCTGCGGAGGCCTGTGACATGTTGGTCAGTAATCTCATCCTCCCACATCTACTAGTCCAGCGCTCGCTAGATCGAGAAGGCTTACGGAGGAGCCTGCGTAACAAAAACCGTCAACGGCGCAGGCACTGAGGCATTCTGGTAAATCGTCTTCGTGACAGTGACTGGCGGCGGAGCTGGAGGAGCTGGAGGGCAAGCGTTATTCGGCTTGTTGCGGTTGCCCTGGTTGTTTCGGCTACCGCCGTTGAGAGCGTCCAAGATGCCGGCGATGAGGTTGCCCTGTCCCGATCCTCCCCCGTTTGCTCCCTTGTTCAGCGATCCAGCATTTCCAAGGTTCACAGTCTTCACTTCAACCGCGCCCGCGTTGGCGCCCTCTACGTTGACGTTTCCACTTCCATCGATGTTGATGTTTTGTCTCTTATCGACAGCCGCGCCCTGCTTTCTCGTCAACCCAAAATCGTCACCACCCTCGACGGAGTTGTCTCTCGGTATGTTGAATGAACGCACCTGAGCGATTGATGTTAGAGTTGCCACGGCGAAGAGTAGACTATGCCTCATCGTGGGCTCGGGGGCGAAAGCTGGAGACCTTCGAGTGTCGCCAGCGTTTCTCGATTTCGATCTTTTCCACTATTCGTATCCTTCTCTTTCACTATTTGTTTTTTCAAAGAGCGAGTTCAACAGGCCAGCCGTCGGTGAGTTTGTTGGGATCAACCCTAGGATCGAAAAGAGTGTATAGGTTTGTGGAGTGTTCCGTAAACCTTCGCGATTACGAAAGGAAAGAGTTACGGGCAGATAGATGGCCACCTGCAGAACATGTCCAGAGTTCAATGAGATAAGACGGCCAAGACCCCCTCGAGTAGTGAGAGTGATCAAGAGGGTGTGCGGGTACTAAGAAAAGACGAGAGATGCGACCAGGAATGGGTCTGAGGGGGGGGGGGGGGTGAGGACAAGAGAGCGTGAGAGGAGTGAATTTCGGTCAGAGAGCGAATGCCGTATTTTCCGTGTCTTTCCAGCCAGGAACAGGCACGTACAAACGCACAGAGTTTGGGTAAGGAGAGCGAGAAGCAAAGAGAAGATGGGACGAAGCAGCAGCATCAAACCACAAAAACAGTCGAGTCTTGAGTTGCGGGAGCCGCAAAGATTAATCGAAAAGGGGACCACCGTCCAGAATCACCAAATGGCCCATGTCAATGCCCAGCCATGCACCATCAGATTGGCTCTTCGGCGCACCGGGTGCCAAAATGCTTGCCAATGCTTGGCCATGGCTAGCCGGGGTGGGCTTCATGGTGGACGAGCAGCCAGACAGGGCAAAAAGAAGCTGGATGGGGGCCCAGAACTGGTACGATGGACGTCTTGTCGAAGGCGACAAGTCTTCTGATTTGACTGAATCGAACTCGATGGAGCAAGGGAAACCAGGGTTTCTGTCAGGAACGCTGCAGACTCGATCAGTGCGGTTCAGGGCGGCCAAGAAACGCAAGGGGCCCGCTCCCCGCCATGCTGCATGCCCGCTTCTGGGCTCTCGCTCACCTCATCCATGTCCAACATTGTCGGGTCGGGCTAGGGATCGTGAAAAGGTCGATCGGAGATGGAGGCCGTGTGAAGCAAGGCGTCGTGGAGCCGCTGCAGAAGGGTCCGGGAGGGCGTCGAGAGAGGTTAGAAGCATTCCAATCATTCCACGGCGCTGGCGAGGAAGAACCCTGAACTGGGCTTGCTGGGGCTCAAGGGTGTGAGACATGCCCCAGACGAAGACCGTCTGAGACGGGGGGCACAGCGACAGAGCCACCAAAGCCACCCCAAACTCGCGCCAGGGCTCCGAAACTGCGAGAGCGCCAGACCTACGAGCCACACCCTTCGGCCACTAGCCCAAGTGACAGCCAACGCAAGCCAACGCTAGGTTCTGAAGGGCAACTGCAACGATGAACCGTCGAGACTCGACTTCGACGATGGTCCATCCCATCCCATTGTGTCTGTGCCCGTGATGTGTGACGTGATGCTAGTTTGATGAGGAAGCCATGCGAGGGGCGGACATGATGCGAAAGACTGATAGTGGCTTCAAAATCTCGGTGGCCACGGGTGCCATAGGTATCCCACTCCATCCTTGGACCTCACCCCTCCTCTGTCCAGTACACTACGTCTTGGATCTGTACGGATAAACCAGCAACGAGGTATCCGTAGATGGGTGAAACATTGTTTCCCACGGGTATGCGGAAAATTCTTTTTGGCTTTCGTTCGATCCCAGCATGTCGCCATCAACAACGTTGCCGCTGCTGTTGGAACTGCTACAAACTGCTTCTTTGACTCGTGTTTGTGGTGACGATCGTTGAAAATAGAACCCGCATCGCAATCACGAAAAACTCTCATTTCGTTTCCCCAGACTCTCCAAGGGCCCAGGCGGCTACCGCTGCACGAAATGCCTCGCGACTGGTGGGCTTGGGAGAGGTCGGGTCGGGGCCCACGACAAAACAAATAGGTGTCAGCGCTTCATCGACACTTGGACAGGCGGGACGCACGCATCCACCATGCCTCGCACCCACGTGAAGATCAACAGCGTGGGATGGGCCTTTCAGATGGAGCATCCAGTGCAGGTCGATGACAGGCGAGGTGGCCGGCGCCCAATTCTCTTGTTCTTGCTCTTGCTCTCGCTACGTAGCGAAACAGAGGGGCCCAAGACGAAAAGAAGCGCGGGTCCGGATACAGATGCAGTTTTCGTAGGATGTGCGGCATTTGTGGATGACTGATGAATGATGAGCCCATGGATGTCTTCGTCTCAACTTGCCTTTTTTTCCGCATCGTCTCTTCGGACAGTCGAATGAGCCCATCGCCGAGACAACTTCTGTCGCCAACACGTTGCGCTTGCGTACGCAGTACAGTAGTATCCGCAGACTAGAGCAGGCTCTTTCTCGTGCTGGAAGAAAGGACAGCGGCATTGAGACGACGAGGGTCGTCCCAAGGCGAGCAGAAAACGAACACCTTTGCTATAATCATGGACTTTTCGTGCCTCAAGTGGCTGGGGCGACCTGCGTGCTGAAGCAATGGGTCAAACGAGCGAGAGCCCGGGCGGCACGTTTGATGACATGCAGATAATGTGCGTTCTGGTGCATGCTGCAGGCGATGAACATGTCACGGGCCAGAAGAAGACCAGGACCGTCATTGGCGGTTGGCGATGGTGATACCGGCCCAGATAATAGCACGTTTTGACGAGAAATAATAAGAGGCCTCTGTTCGGCGTCGTGGGTGAGGTGAGTCTGTGTTGCTTTCCTGCTCGGGAACGGAATAAGGTACTGAGAGATGGTTATCTCAGGACGATAGTCCCGGAACGGCAATTGGTGTCGAGACGAGCGCTTCCCGAAGCACCGAGTTCATGTGCAGCAGTCGCAGTTGAGGGTTAATGCGACTGTGCACCGTCCTGAAGGAGGAAGGGGGATCCAAGACACCATGATACATGATACCTTGGACAGACGCCCCCTTCCGACTTGTTGCTTCAATAGGATGTTGCGGTTAAGTCCAGGGATCAGCATGTCATGATCGGGAGACGGGGACGCCAGTCTCGTTCGTTTCACTCAATTCAGTGGGTAAAAGAGCCTTAAAACGGTCCGAGTGCATGCTGATGTAATTCAACCCATACCCTCCTGCACTCCTGCACGCAATGTGGCGGCGGCAGCTCCAAACAAGCTTAAAGAGGGCGGTTATAGGTTATGTCTCCCCTGTGGCTAGAGAATGTCGGATCTTACTTAGGTAATGTGGCTAGTATCAGCTTCTCGTACCTCCCGACGTGGCTAGAACGTGGCTAGATACTCAAGCGGTACTCGGTGACCACACAAGTCCGATCGATGCCATGATGGAAAGTACCCTCATCATACTAATTGGCCTACATCGGTACACGCACACTTCCAAAGCTGAGCCAAAGCAGTGGGCCTACAAAGTCAATGACGACAGTGTAATCCTTCTTCAACCACCAGTTGAGGCTAAGCAATGAGCAGTGACGATCATCGGGAGGTTTTTTTAACGTCGTCTTCCACAGCTTCCGAAGCCGACTATGGTGATGATAAGTTGGTTTAAGCCAGCTTGCTAAACACTCGTGGTTCTTCACACCACTCACCACAAACTCATCTCACACCACTGGCGACTGTGGCCCCCGTATGTTTCAACACATTTTCAAGCGTCTCAGACTCTAGATCGCGGTCACAGAACAACAACAACAACAACAACAAGTCGCATTCGAACGACACACACAGATAGGAGGCGGCCCAAGATGGCGACTGTACACGTCCTTGACGACTACTATCTAGCCATCACGGCTCTCATCACAGTAGCATACCAGTTATTTTTCTTCTCAATAGCGTTTAGCTTTAAGTTTGACAAGCTCACTGGTAAGAAACAACTCTCACACCCGGCCCTTCAAGACTCACTCGACATTTCATCAACTCATTAAAACGAAAGCAAAAAGCTGATATCTCACACAGACTTTGCCGGCGGAACAAACTTCGTCGTCCTCGCCATAATCACCCTCGCCATCAGCGGCCACAACCATGCGCGCCAAATCGTCGCCTCCATCTTCATCATGCTCTGGGGCGCCCGCCTCTCGGCCTTCCTTCTCTTCCGCATCCTCAAGACGGGCAAGGACGACCGCTTCGACGACAAGCGTGACAAGTTCTTCCCCTTCCTCGGCTTTTGGATCTTCCAGATGATCTGGGTCTGGACCGTCTCCTTGCCCGTCACCGTCCTCAACTCGCCCAACGTCACGCGCTACCCACAGCACGACTTTGGTACCGGTCGCGACGTTGTCGGCGTCATCTTCTTCGTCGTCGGATTCGTCATGGAGTCAGTCAGCGACGCGCAAAAGTACGTCTTCCGCAGGGACAACCCGAGCCGCGAGGCCATTTGCGACAAGGGCTTCTTCAAGCTCTCGAGGCACCCCAATTATTTCGGCGAGATCATTATTCAGTTCGGTATGTTCACACTGCCATTCAATGCCAAGTGATACCATCTCATACAACGCCAATTCCCCCTCCCCATGCTTTGTCAGCACGACGGAGCAGAACCAAACCCACTGATGGAGAGAATCCTCGGCTAACAGCATCCCAACGTCTAGGCATATACATGATCGCTGTCTCGGCAGCCGCCGACGGCTACGTGGGCGGCCAAGCCTTCAAGGCCCTCTACGCCACCATCCTCGGCCCTTTCTTCCTGACGCTGCTCCTCATGTTCGTCTCGGGCTTGACCCTCCAGGAGCGTCCCGGCGCCAAGAAGCGCTACGAGAAGAACCAGAACTGGGAGGGCTACAAGCGCTACCTTGAACGCACCAGCATCCTCATCCCTTTCCCACCGCAGCTGTATGCCCGCATGCCGACGATCCTCAAGCGCACCGTCTTCCTTGAGTTCCCCATGTACGTCTTCGATCCGGCCAAGCACTCCGACGCCGGGGCGCGCGCCGAGGAGGGCCAGCAGCATCACCAGCATGAGTCTGTTGCCAAGCCCGCGCACGGGAATGGGAGGCCAAGCGGGGAGGAGTCTCTCGTCGGGCAGCGTTCGTAAGCTGTACGAATTCCGGGGAATTAATCTGGGAAGAGAGCAGGCATGTTGATGGAATTTAATTTTTCATGTTCTGATGGCATTACGGCTTAGATGACTCTTTTCATAGTAATCAATTTTTGGGGGATATCATAGAACCGACTAATACTACCTTCCATCACCCCTAATATTATTAATAACCCTAATCAAAGTACGTCTAACGACCAAACAAAAGCAAACCTCGATCACGGCAGCTCTATAACATGCCATGGGCATTCATTTCACTCATATCAGTGAACAATGGCTTTCAGCGTCCCGCTCAACTCACACCGCCCATCAACCGATACCGCCCCTGCCGGAGTGCCTCCGCTCCCGCGCAGGTCCGTCGGCTGATCGAGCGCCTCCTGCTGGTCGCCGTAGTCCGTGTACTCAGCTTCCTCGCGGTGGTTCTCCGCGCCCTCGGGGATGGGCACCATGGCATTCTTGGTCCAGATGTGGACGGCCGTCTTCCAGTCCAGGCCGTCGATGCAGCCGCCCTTTACGGAGACGACGTTCTTATCCTGGGGAGTCACCGGGCACTTAGTCTACGCTCATTTTTGCGCCGCGTTTTGGGTTTTGCGAAAGCACTTACCGGTGTTGCGTGGATTAGTCTGGTTCCGCAGTTGCGGCAAAAGTAACTGTCACAGAATTTGTTAGGTCACAAAGATCTCAGGTTTGTGGCGAGGGGTGTCTGCTCACCAGTACAGCGTGGCGCCGGAAGCAGTCGGCCTCCTGTTTGCTCATAGGTCAGTAATGGATTCTGTGTCACTTCACAACTCGCAACTCTCTCACTCTCACGCTTCACAACCTCCGCTACACCCCTGACTTGAATGACTGCTCTTCTTCTTTTCTCTCTTCCTCTCCCTGGTCTGGTATGTATGAAACTCACGCGTAGACACCCATTAGATCAGCCTTTGGTAGCTTAAACTTGGGGAAGATTGCAGACGTCCCGAACGCGGAGCCGGTTTGCCTTTTACTAGAAACCAAAAAAGGCACAAGTCAGTATGACTGCGGCTACTGATCGACGAAAGAGAGTACGAGAGTTGTTGAACGTGCCATTCTTCACAGTGGCATATATAGAGGCGAAGGGGTTGTGGCAGCGGCGTCTTGAATGACACGGCTCCGCATTGGCATCGGGCATCCATTTTGGTAAGTTGGAGTTGGAAGTTGCGCAGTGTAGTTGAGGTACTCCGTAATGCGTGAGCGGATCAATGGTGATAGTGGCAGTGTGACGTCAGATTGTCCCTTCAAATGCCGAGTGAGATCTCAACTAGAAGGTGGCAGTTCTTTTCAGGTACCGACGACGTGTGATAGGTCGACTTTCTGTCAAGACTCAAAATAAATAAGAATAAGGGGAAGAGAGTAAATCCAAAGTCCCACGTGTAAGTGTTGTAAGGAGGAATCAATTCCTCAGGATGTGTGAGGAGTCAGCAATCAAGTTCGTCCGAAACGGGAATCCTCCCGTCTTTATGTACCTAGTGACTCCCCCCAAAATACCACATGACACACACACAGCTAATGCATCCAAAGCGACTACGGTCTACCCGTCCTCTCTACGAACAACCCGACGTCGGGAGAAGAATACAACTCAACACGCGTCTCAGCGCGATATCGAAAGTATGCAAGGACACTAATTGCTGCGACTTGCAGCGGTGACCGGGGGTGGGAGGAGGAGGGACGTGAGTCACGGCCGGGGTGGTGTGGGAGAGAGGGGAGGGGGGATGCGGGGCTGGCTGAAGCGGATTGTCGGGGGATGAGAGGAGAGAAGGGGGGGCTTTGGAGCGAGACTGGCGCGAAGTCACATGGTTAGCGGCCCTGCTTGACCGGGTTTTGTTGCGGAGCTATCCGTATTTCGCGAGATAGATACTCCAAAAGTACTAACATACCTTCGGCTTCGGGTTAGGTTGGAGTTGACTCAGAATTTCGGGGTTATATTCGCGGAAGAGGAAGCAGTTGCAACCGTACCTAGGTAGGTAGTCTAAAGCCGCCTCAATGCTCAACTATACAATCGACTCTCTTGGGCCCAACGATCGAGAAGTATGTAGAGTCCGGAAATCGGAGGTGGGAGACTTCAGAAAGGAGGAGGAAACCCAAAGCGCAAATCCTACATGTAGTGCCTTAGAACAGCATTCGTTGTTTAAGACGACCTGTCAAAGAATGAGAAAGTAGATGAACCGCACAGCCAAGAGACAGCTGCTGGCCGCCCCTGCTCCGATTGGCCAATGTCTACGAACAGTTCCTTGCACACAGGCGGGACCTTTCCGCGCTGAGTGGATGTCCATTTCAACGTCCCATCACTCGGCCTAGTCTCACTAAACACTAAACCGCACCGAGCCGCGACAGGAGAAACCAATTAGCAATGTTCCAGGGTCTCATTATCTTTCTATCTCATCTGAGTCATTAGGAGCCCTTTCTTTACCAACGTCTAATGGTCGAGAGCTTCCTCAGCTCGCACGACCGTGGGTATCTCTCTCTATAACCTCTCCTGGCTCCAAGACGATGATGAAATCTCCAACCTATCCGTATCGTCCAGGGCAGGTCCACCGACGTCGTTGCAAATATCCGTGGTCGAGTATCAGCTGCGACTAGTAGACACCCAAGATGATAGGTCTAGTGGCCCGCCTGTGAATAGCGAGGTCAAACCAAATCCCGAATCTCCCCAATAGAAACCCCCACGGCCGTAACTTCAATCAATCGTATCCCATAGCCCCGTGAATGCTGTGCTGCTGAATAGTCGAATAGTTGGTAGGTCGAATGAAGTCGATGACAAGGCCCAAGTGGTAGATCCGGTTCCTTGAGAAGATCCAGTTCCTCCACATTGTCTTTGTTCATCGGCTTGGCAATGCGCCCCCAAGCAAAGTCGATTTAGCAAGAGAGGCCACGGTCGCGGGTCATGACCTTCTTCTGACGAGGGCCAGCCATTTTCATGTTACGGGCTGGAAGGAACGGTTTGTACTTCTTGTCGAAGACACCGCCGGGAACCCACTCCTCCTCGGTGTGGAGACGGCTCCAGATGGCGTTGAGCTTGGTATTGTTCTCAACATCGATACCAAGGAAGTTGACGCTGTTGCGTCTGTCGGGGGTGAGGAGAATGGTGATCATCTTGGGTCCATCAATGAAGAGGAAGATCAGAATGCGGATGATGGCGACAGAGAAGTAACCAATGAGGAGGGCAATGGGCTTGACAACCATCCAGACGGTACTCTTGATGACATCGGCGACAGTCGGATTCATCGACATCAAGAAGAGAGTGATGAGGATAAGAACCGGAATGCGAACCTCGGGAGACCAAGCAGTGGAGTAGTCAATGCTGAATTCGGGGCAGTGAGGGTGGAAGCGACCGCGCATAATGTGACCGTTCATTTTCACTTGGTATGGTAAGTTTGTATTCAAATTCAATGAATTTCCTTTGCTTCGACTTACCAGATGTTTTGTGAGTGATTGAAGTGGATGTGAGGCTCTCGCGATGTTCTTTGAGGGGAATGTATGTGATCTCTTTGATGAGAACACAGGAATCTGTGACCTTGTTAGCGACCCTTCATGTCCAGAAATGTCGATGGTGCCCTACTAGGGAATAGGGCCTTGACAAGAAATTTCTTCGTCGTCAATCGGCCTAAGAAGCGTCTGAAAGTCGCAAGTAGGAGCGGTCGGTATCCTGTAAGGTGAGGATATTGTGTAATATTGCAAGTAGGCAATGCGTACAAGAAGATAATGCTTGAGGGGAAAAGCCGAGGGTCCAAGAGAGGAGGAAGGGCGTGAGGCGGAGGGAAAAGAGAAATCTCTTAGCAGACGACTGGCTGCTTTGATGAGAGAAAAAGAAGAAAAAGAAGAACGATTGGAAGTTTGTTTTTTGAAGTGGGCGAGAAAGGAAGAAGGAAGGCAGGTCCGGGTCAACTTCAGATGGAAAGACGGCAGGAGCAAACAATAGCACACCTCTGGTCTTGAACAGTGAATATTGGGTCTTGCCTCATTCACCTTTGCAGGAGGAGCCTCAGGTATTCATAACAACAGAGATATCATTCCTGATAACCATGAACCAAATTGCAATATGCCTAATGCCGTAATCCCAGTTGCATCTCCGGAACGCCATGCCCCCCATCCCATGACCATATCCCCATTCGACTCCATCCTCGCCATTGCAACCAACAATCAAACACGTACCTCCTCTTTTGTCGTTCGTAGTCTGAGGTCTACGTGATCAAAAGCCAACAGCCATCACCCTGAAAGCCATATATCCCAGTCTATGCTTGAGGAATACTCAGCAGGGGGCTCAACACTGCGCAATGCCATCAAAGACTTGCCTTTTCGACCCATTGTCCTCCTCGAGCTTCTCAACACATCTTACCACGACGAGGTTATCCTCTCCCTCCTTATCAACGTTCAGCATCTTCCCAAGCTCAGCACACCACTCGAGCTTCTCCCCATCACCCCAATCCAGCACCGAAAGCTCAACCTCCAGCCTCCTCAACGCCCTCAGCTTCCGCAGCCCTTCCTCGATCCATTCCGGCCTGGGATCGGGCCGTGTCGTCTTGGAGCCCAGCCCCATGGCCTGGGCCTCTGCATTGTTTTTCAGCGCGGAAAAGGGGGCAGTGGGTTCGAATATCCCACCTCCTATAAGGATCTTAAGCCTCAGCCCTCGTAACCCAGAGGCCCAGTGCTCACACAACTCAGTCCACTCCTTAAGCGCTGGGCCCGTGAAGTCCCGTCCGAGCATCTCGAGCCGCGCCCACCGCATCTCATCACGCTGCCACGGCCGCAGACCGCGCGTGAAGGCCCGCGCCGCCCAGAGCCCCGAGGAGAACCAGTTGACAAAGACGAACTCATTGGTGTGGAAGGGGAAGGACCGGCACTCGTTGTAGATTTGCCTATTGGTCTCCAGGAGCGCTGAGGGGATACCAGAGATTGGACGGTTTGGTGACAGCAGCGTTGGCTCGTCAGACTTTTGGTCTTTGCTGGAATCGTCCTTTTCTCCTGCGGGTTGGGCGATGGCTTTCACGATTTTTCCTGGTACGGTACAATCCTCAATTTCCACTCCGGGGGTTTTGATGGGCCTCAAGAAGTACGCACTATGTATTGGATTCGGGTACCACGGCGCGAGCTGCGCGTGCTCTACTGGGTGTGCCGCGTGGACCCAGCCGTATATCTGGAGCCGGATTTCAAAGGGCAGGCCGAGGAGATGCAACTCGTTTTTCGACACATCCATGGCGGCGGTAGTATTCTCACCTGGGATCGCGCAGGCAGTCTCCATTACCGACGTGAATCAAGCGACCTCCAGTTGGCCATCCGCGGATTCTTGGACAATATGAGAGTTGACGAGATCCAGGGTCCAGCAAGTATAAGTGGTTTCAAGCGGGGGGTCGTGGTTGTCAGGTCCTAGCCGGCTCAGTAATCAAAATCGGCAGATGTTGTGAATGTCATCCCGGAATCTCAGTTGGCTTTTGGAAGACGATGGATAAGTTTCAGCAATGGAAACGAGACAATGGGCGCGCCTGTAGAACATATACCACCACCGCCATCGCTCAGTCTCACTCGTCGCCCAAAGCAGCTGCCCAGCGAAGAAACGTCGTCGTGGCTGGGCCGGAGTCCAGCGTTAGCAGATTCCCAATGGCTCCAGGGACCGCCGTAAGCCAGCCAGGTAAAAGAGGGGGAAACCAGGCTCATTGGCCCGTTGAATCAGGATTTGATTCCTTAATGGACAGAACGAGTGAAGGACAGGTAAGCTGACACTTGCAGTACGTACGCAGCGCGAACAGGAAAGCAACCAACAGCACAAAGGAAAGCTGGGGTGCCACCCCCCCGATACAGACGAGCCAAGCCAGACCGAGAGCAAACCCAACCCCCCCCCCTGGCCAGGTCTTACATCCAATCTTGGCGAAACGTCAGCTCTACTAGCATCCATCCGCGATATACTAATCGAACGCCATGGTTGGTGATCTTACGATACGGAACGACGGCAAGAGGGAAAAGGCTTAAAGCATATGACAGCGGGGGGTTCGACATAATCCTTGCTCGCACTCGCTCGCAACTTTTTCGCAAGTCGTACGTTCTAGGGGAAGAAAAGAGAACGGTCGTTCAAGCATACCTAGCTTAGCTAGGTATGCTTCTCCCCGGCCCCTCTTTGCTTTCTCTCCTCTTCGGATTCCTCCACCCCACTTTCAAGGGATGAACCCGGCCGGCGGGCTCCATCCAAAATCAACATACCAACCACACAGTTCAGGCCGATCTTCTGCGAACAACGATGCCCCCTTCCAAGACAACGAGCCCTCCACATCGACCATGACAAAAACCACTAGTTTCGAGATATTCGAAGAACAGAGGGGAAAGTGATCTCTTCACCCTCCCCGCAAAATCGACCTCCAGAGTTTTGTATAGACTTGTAGTACGAGAAACTCAAAGCAGAGTGCCATCCCCGCACCGGCTCGTCCGCGCCGCCGTCGCACCGGTGTCCGCCACGTGGAGAAGCCCGTTGCTCAGCTCGACGATGGCGGCGTCGTGGTGAGTGTCATGTGCCAGACCTATTAACCTTTTTGCTCGTACGCAGAAGAAAACACCTCGGGGTCCGCCGAAGACGCCGCACCTTTCACCCATACATCCCTCACTAATGAACCGCATGTGTATTATAAGATTGAGTTTCATGCCTCGCGAGGGGCACTTTTAGCATTAGCTATACTTTGAAAAGGGGCTATACTATCTTTGTTCATCCAAAACGTCTTCAGCAACCTCCCCCTCTCGCCCACTATCCTGAATTACATAGCCAGGAGCGTGTGTTGGAGGAGTGGCCTAGTAGGTCTCCCAAGGAACCTCGTAGACCCTCCTTTTCCGAACTCTTTCTTCGACTTCATTCGCGTGACGTTAAAACAACAGAAACACCACCCCTCTCGGATCAAAACTCTTCGAATCCCATTCTCTCATGCTTCGCGTACAAAACTCCTCGAGCAAAATTAAACGCCCCAAGGCTGTAGAGACCGAGCGAACCCCATTCTATAAAAAACCATGCTTGGGACCAGTAAAACCCCCACTGGTGGGAAGGGTGTATATACGTCAAGTGGCAAACACGAAAAACAAGGAAGAAGAAAGGTAGAGACCTCTTTTTGTTGTCGTCTTCGTCAACGTCCCAAAACTCGCAGAACACATAAATGCAAGCAAAGCCGCCCTGAGGACAGCAGGGGTATCAAAACTCTCTTCCAGAAAGAGAGGGTTGTGTGTTGTCGTTTCAAGATTATGCGCATCTTTGGGAGAAAAAATTGATTCTGGACTTCTCTGTGCCTCAAACCGAGTTTAGGAAAAGTCGTCGTCTCCGTTGCTGACCATTCGGTCGACGCGCTGGACCAGCTCCTTGGTCTCCCGAGCAATTTCGAAAGCAATGGGCGGTAGGGTTTGTGTCCACATCCTCCACTCGCGATCGTTGCGCCCGGTGGCACCGACGTCCTGGGCGCGGTCAATGTCCATGCCACGATCGCTGGCTTCCAGAAGGCGGTCCCGGCAAGCGACGAGTCGGGTAATCATGCCGCCATTACCAGATGCCTCGGTTTCGCCAATGACCTTGTCAACAACCTCTACGATGCCATTGATCTCGGAGGTGATCTGGTTGATGGCGGCATCGCTTCGGATGGAACCGACCAGGTTCTGGATGTTTTGAACCAGGATTGCGGTCTGATCCTCGAGATAGATCTTGAGATCTTCGGCCCGGTTATCCTGTTGTCGCATGCCGTTACCATAGCCATTGGCTGGCCCGTTCTGGTTCATGCCCGCGAACCCACCCATGCCGTTCATACCATTCATACCGTTAGCTCCCCGTGCTTGATTGTAGGCGTCTGCAGACTGGCGAGGGGAGTTGATGGGGCTGTAAGCGGAGGAGTCCATGCTGGTTCGGCCACCGCCAAGTCCACGGAATGGTGCGGGTGCCTGTCCTAGTGGTGGCAAAGACTCCTGGATGATCGACTCCTGTCTCGAGGCCGTTCTGGGGGAGAAGAAACCGGTCGAGTCAACGGGGGTGACCGTGCCGTCATCCTCATCCTCGAGTTCGCCAGCGGGCGTGGATCGAATCTTTGCGACTCGGAGGAGATCGACAATAGCGGCCACCAGGTGAGTGGCGGCGGCATCTAGGAGAGAAACTGGCGTGATGCCTGCCGATGAAGCAAAGTTCTTGGATGTGGTGATGAGGTGGTTGGCCGTCGAAGAGATCTTGCCCTTGAGCTTAGAACGCTGCTGTGCGAGCTCCTCGTTGGTAGCGACACCCTCGTCAATATCCTTAGTAATTCGGCGAACGCTGACAACGACTTGCTTCATAGCGTCAATGACGGTGTCGGGGTTCTCCGCGCGTGCGCGTTGGAGGAGTTCGTCGATGGCGATCTGGAATTTGGTGACGTGGACGTCCTTAACTGCGCCTCCGTCCTGTGCAAATCCCTTTTCTCTGATGTACTTTGATGCATCTTGCTCGACGGTTAGTCCAAGTGAGGAGGCACGCATGCTGCGAAGTTGTGTCTTTGTTCGTGCGTAGCGATTGCGCCAGTCGCGAACCTCTGCTTCCAGCTGCTCGATTGTTTTCTCCAGCTCCTCCTGCTTTTGCCAGGTTGAGCCGCTCTGTTGTGAAAGCATCTTCATTTCGCGGAGGAACTCCCGAGCCTCGCGTCGAGCCTCTTCCGTGACCTGTTGCTGCTCCTGTAGAGATTGGCGAAGTTGCTGATTTTCCATCTGTAGCTCCCTGTCCGCGTTGCCAGAGTTGGCTGCACCTGCAGCCGCACCAGACAAGCGCAATTCATCCATCTGATCTCTTAATTGCCGAGATTCGTTTGCGTGTTCGTCCCGCATGCGATCCAGCTCCTGCTTCAACGACGCGTTGAGATCTTGAGCCTCGGCGAGCTTGTTCTCCAGGCCGAGACGGAGGTCGCTAAATTCCTTCTTCTCCATATTCGCGGCCGTCGACCGTGATCTTTCTCCATCCAGAACACTGTTCAGCTCGTCGTCCTTCCTCTTCATGGCATCCTCCATAACATCAAGCTTTTCCCGCAGGTCGCGCACTTGAGTCTGGTATTCATCCAAAAGCTTCTTGTCGGCCTGTCATAGCTGTTAATGTCTCCACTCGATACGAGAATATTTTGGGTAATGATCACCTCTGATGCTACCGCGCTCCGCTCCGTGACTTCGCTTCTCTTGCTACGATTAGTCGCGGTTCGTTCGAGGCCAAAAGCTTCCTCGTCCTCGTTCGGGCTGCCATCGTCGTCCTCTTCCACCATTGTACTTTTATTCGGCACAATCGTATTGCTCTGGAATTGTTTTTGCATCGGCCGGTTGTAATCGCCATTCGGAGGCATACCCGGCGAGGGAGGCACTCCATAGGGGTCGGGTGGTGGTGGTCCTCCTCTCATGGAGCTCGCGTCAGAGGGCCGCCTCATCCGACTTTGACTCCTGGGAGGATAGCCATTCCCGTTGACTGTCGCCTGCGAGCGGACCGATACGGGGCTACCCACTCTAGGGATGTCTCCAGCGGCAAAGCGGGGAAACCTTCTCTCCAGTTCGCAAAAGACATCAGTCGCAAGATCACGAAAACGCGGGGGGCCAAGGGATGACAGTTTTTGCCTGGCCTGGTTGCGTTTGGGATGGAAGTTGGATTCGGGCATCAAGTAAGGGGGTGGCCCCTGACCGCCAGGACCCGAAGGTCGGCGACCGAGGGATTGTCTCCGCAAAAGTTCGTCGAAGACATCGGTACTGAGTTCGAGAAACTGGACAGACGACAGGCGCAACAGTTTGTCGCGGGCCTTATTCGGGGGTGTTGGTTTCCCACCTGAACCGCCATTGAGGTAGTTCTTCAAAGCGACGTAGTGCTCGCCCAGTATGCCCTCGGCTTGCTCCTCGCGGATGCTCCGTCCGCTCTCGCTCCTCGCATACATGTTGGTGCCATTGCTGGATCGGCCGACAGAGGGCGGCGGTGAGGGACCGCCGGCGCTCCGGGGACCGGGAGGAAAATTGCCATTCATGGCCCCGTTGGAGCCTCCTGAATTCGGGGGTGATACGATGTTGCCGCGGTTTTTTGCGTACGGGTCGTCGTTGATGTTCGGGTATTTGCCAACAGACCACTCGCTTCCACCTAGAGAGACAGGTGAGAGAGGCGCATTGCGACCATTCATGGTAGACCTGGACAAGTTTTGTATGGGAATATGTTCGCGCGTAGAAGAGCGGCAGGCTGTCGAAGGAACAGAGACGCGGCGCGGCGAACAAAGGGAGTGTCGAAATCGACAAGGAGGTCGAGGTCGAGGGTCGGGTCTTTCAATTCGGTCGGGGGTAGCAGCAGCTGAACGTTTCTTCTTCTCCTTCTTCGCACAGCACACTCGCGTGACGTGTGTGACAGAATGCCAATCCAATCAGGTATACGCTCGTACCCAAAACCAAGGCGAAAACCCAAAAGCCAACCTAAATACGTATTGTCGCAGAACCTTTTTCTCGCTTTCTTTATTTAGAGTAGATCGGGTAAAGGTTGGGCGTGTGAACTGAACTGCGTGTGGTTCAGGTTCAGGTTCAAGAAATGGGGTGTTGGTGAATAAAGAAAGTATTGGAGATGGCCGAGGAATGTGTCGCAGGCTGGTAGTGAGATATCGCGGTAGAGGGGGGTGAAAGGAAGAAAGGGGTTTTCGTTTCTTCCAATCCGTGTCTTTCAAGCGTCAATGTACGAACAGGCGGCGGATGCGACCCGGCATGGCAGGGCGGGAGGATGAAATGTGTCAAAAAGGGGATATCCTGACGGTGGTGGATGCAGAGAAAAAGCAAATGCCGCAAAGAAGGCGTAGGACAAGATGCAAAGGGCGGCTAAGGTGCAGTGGCAGTGGCAGTGGCAGTTGCAGTTGCGGTTGCAGCAGAGACAAAGCGCAAGGCGAATTAGAATAAGGTATCGGTAAGGTATGGTAAGGTAGTGTGGGAAGAAAGGTTGAAAGAGCAGATGGCAACCTTGAAAGTAGAGCAGAAACTCGAGAGCAACGCAAAACAGAGCGCAAGCAGCAAGGCAAACGACGTAGAAAGGCAGAACAAGAGCAGAATCCGCGACGGAGGTGGTGAGGCATGAAACGTCGAGGTGACTGGCTGGGATGCCTCGACCAATGGAACCAATCGATGAACCGGAAGGAGGAGCTGCTGGGGCCCTGCCGTCCTGGGGGTTGGGTGGAAAAAGGGGGGTGAATGGGCAAGTCCAGTGGATTTTGGGGGACTCGGGAGAATCTGGGCCACGAACTACGCTGAATGGTGTACTTTTGTGGTGTGATTACTATGGAAAGATACAAGTAGACAAGCAGAGGATCTCGCGAGTCGCCTTAGTAGGAACTCTTAATGGACTGAACGCACTGATAAAGGTTGTGGGCAGCGATTGCAGTGGTGATGGACTGCTCTGGGCGCTGGAGCTTGTCCTTAGCGCTGTTCGCTGTTGCTGGAGGGAACCTGAAAGGATGGACTTGCAGAAAGATACAAGTTACAACAATCTAAGTATCCCAATGGAAGAGGTGGAGGGAGGAACGCACGCACGGCAACCTTAGTGGAAGAGGGAAGGGGGCCGCTGCCGGGAAGGGGTAAGGGGGGTGGAGGAGGGGAAATGACGCTGGAGAACACAGCCCGCCGATGTCATGTCTTGTTCCTCTTGTAGACTTGTACCCTTGGGAGTATCAGACACCCGATCATGGCTGGGAAATGCGTCGCGTGGTACTTGTGAAATTGGCCATGATGATATTGCGACTCTCCACCGTGGTTGTGCGATGATCAATCTCTTTTGGGTCACCTCCGGGGATCATTTTGGGGGCCACTTGCTCCAATGTCCATGTTCATACCCCATCGTCCATCATCAATGATGCCTTTTTTTGACGATCCACGCATAATGATGGTGATAGTAGGGGGGGCCTTTTTGCCGGTAGAGGAGTCCGTACGTTATCATCCCGTACAACTATTCATCCGTGGCCCAATGCAGATATACAACCACAGCTCCTGATGCGATACCTTCGAAATGGCACCGTCCCAGCGGATGGAGGGAGCCAGCTCAGACCATCCCAAGCACCAAACACTTGTTTCTTCTTCCCCGTTGGAGGGAGAGACAGGAGCTCAAAGTTATCCCCGTTGTCGGGCCTCACCCTCAAAAACCAACCCAAAGACCAACCCAAACTTGCATAAGTGACTCGAGTCGAGGTTCGAAAAGACGAGTGCCGTTACATGGACGGGCAGCTCCCACAAAGCCAGAGATCGGTCAAAACAAGCTAACCCTGGTGGATACCGGAAGGGAGAAGCCTATCGCCATGGGCTAAAAGTCTCGTCCTACATGTTCATTTCCAGCTTGGAATGCCCGCGCCGCAGGTCCCCCCCCCCCCCCCCCCCCCCGAGAGTCCCCATCCATCCCCGGTCCAGCTGAATCTCTACAAGACTGAAAGGGACTGGTAGATGCTGCTGGTAATTCGGCTTCCGACCTGATTGGCAAAAGTCTGCAAAGGGGATAAGACACAATGGTCTTTTGGACGAGACAAATTCAAAGACACGGCACGATTCAAGACATGGACGATGAATGTACGAATATTCTACCTTGGACCCTGAGAAACAAGGACTGAACGAGAGATATACGAATACTACTCATAATTATAGAGACGCGGAATCCTGATTCCCATCACCAAGATTGCCCCAACTTTGCTGCGCCATCGCCGTCTTGATGGGTAACTTGGTAAGTGGATTTCACTACCACATTACGCGGGTATTGGCAAGCACAGAACATATCGGTTATTACCCAGTAGGTACCATACAGAGGACACTGAGCTTTTGGAGGCAACCACTGCGACTTTGATGTTGTATGTATCCTTACCGTCCCGGTAGACTGCGAATGATTCGCGGGTTCATCCACAAATCCCACCTACCACCCATTCGGCAGCGGCAAGGAAGTGCTCCTGTCTCTTTGGCCTGTTGCTGGTTGGCAGATGCTGTCATTGCCGAAAAACAATTCGCGGTCCATGGCTCCTCCCGCATCTATCAGCTAGACGATACCTTCCATACCTTACGGATAGACATAGGTAGTTGTACCGTAAACGATCCTCTCCTCTTCTACATCATCATCATCATCATCATCATTTCCATCGATCCATCCACACACCCGCACCCGTCCACCACATATCGACATCCTCCTTCTCTTTGTCGCGGATAATGGACTTTCAGGAACCAGCCCTCATTCATGCAACCCTGCAGGCCCAGATCTCCAGGGCCAATGCAGCCTCCGTCACCCCTGAGCGAGTGTTCTACCCATGCCGTGATGGCGCGGCCTTTCCACTACCCATTGGCTCATCACACCTGGCGCGCGCTAGCAGCAAAATTCAAAGGTGGATTTGCTCCAGGGCCCGGCCTGTCACTCGACGGTGGCAGTGTCTGTGGGAAATGGGATAAGAATTGGAGACGCCGACAAGGGCCTCGCTGAGCTTTGGGCATGGGCATATCCGGACAGCAGACGTGCCTTGCGGCTTGCCCTGCCTCCCCCTGCCCTTACTGACATGGATAGATTTTAAGCATGGTGGAGATGCGATTTGCTTGCGTCCTTGCGCAAGGGGGTGCCGGACCCAGCTCGACAGTCGCCTACCTTTTCGAGACGAGTCCTTTCAAAGCCGCGGGATGCTGGCACGCTGGCTGGTGAGCGCGGCAGGGCGAGGCATTGGCTTTGCCTCTGCAGCCCCTTGACAAGCTGTCACCGTTGCTTGTCGTCCGTCTCTGCCCTTCAGATTCCGCCCTACGCTGCTATCCGTACGCATGCGGACGTCTCTGACAACCCCAGACTCTTGGCTCTGCCTTTACCAGCTTCTGTGGCCAGACAATCGGGAGACTCTGAGGCAAGCAAGTTGCAAAGTCACGAATCACAACGGAAGAATTTATGTTCAGGAACAGCTCCGTCGCGACAACATGCTGTTCCTTGGTGCTGATGAGCGCTCTCTCATACTTCCAGAACGGGATGCACCATGCACGCGTCCCGTCTCTCTTCCTATGCCTGGTCCTTCTGCCCGGACAACCGGTGCGTAAACCTCGCCGGCCCCCATGCAACGTTTTATTGCGCCTAAGATTGCAGCTCATCTTGCCCGCCCTGCGCTTCCGACTTTGGTTCGACAAACACTTTGCTCACCAGAGTCTCGACTGGTCCAGCCCTCTTGGAACCACAAAGAGGGATCCATCCCTCTACTCCGTAGATCCAGATCCCCAATCTGGCACTCATCTCGAAAGCGTCTGCCTCCATCACTGGCCATACTCTTAGACCAGCTGCCCAGCACCGTTACCGCGCCGCGATCAATCTGCTATCAGTGCTTTTCAACATACGCATCCTCACGGCGACATTCGAGCACACCCTGATTCGGTACCGGTAGCATCTTGTGCTCACCCTCCCAAGCCAATCATTCGACGCCCTGGGCCAGACGCTCCGGGGTGGGAGAGACCCGGCCACGAGGTGAGGCTCAATGGGGAACATGTGACATTACAAGGTACCTTCAGACCGCATAAACCCCTCCCGTTGCCCGACCCGGCCACCCTGAGGGCCTGAGACGTGAATGAAGCTTGGCCATGCTATCGAACATTTGGCGGGCTGAGATGGCCTCGCCGGGTGTTCGCTGAGTTACACGAGGATTCGCGGATACGATCTTTACGGTACGCGGGCTCGCGTACGCGACCCCCACCGCTCCAAAACTTCCTAGCCCTGGGCTGTCCGGTTCATCCGCCTGCAATCTACGGACACAGGCTTTGCCAGTTCCCCATGACGACGAGGCCTAGACAGTCTTCTTGGAGATTGGAATCTGGTGACACTGGAGAACAAAATTGGTTTTGGGGTACGGAGTTATCCTAGTTATGACAAGGCCATTGTGCGCGCAACTCAGTGCGCCGCAGCGACAGTCAAATGTTGCCGTCTAGCCGGAGAACATTCCGACTACTGTTCGACGGTGTACGCGCAGTGACGCAAGCAGATGAGAAGATCACTAGAGTCCAGTTCATCACTGAGCGTTAGCAATAGTGCAGTGTGTTATTGCCAGGAGGCCACCCCGAAAAGCTTCTAGAAGGCCGTGTGTTCAACGCAACCTCACGGTCCGTGGCATAATAGTCTATTGAATCACACAGATCTCCCGGGCCACCACATATCCCGAACACACACTAACTACGGGATAGTCAGCCCCCAGAGACGGATGGGCTGCAGGGCCGCCGTTGGAACTCGAAGATATGGGAGGGATCGAGCCCCGGTCACGTTCCAGCGAAGGTACACACACCCACACCACCATGACGGGATACTCGAAGCTTCGTGAAACTTGCCTGGACTAAGGCTAGCTCCGAAACCCGGCATCGATAGCTTAATAGGACACCAACAACGGCCCAACGGCAACGGCACGCGGGCGTTTGATTGAACTCTTGAGCTTTTGGGGCTGCGAGTCGCAGCCTGCAGGCTCCCTAGAAGTATTTTAAGGTAATGGTAAGTTCGGCACGGCTTATTCACTCCAGAAGCAGAATTCAGGGATTGTTTTCCCTGTCTTTTGGGAAGTGGTATCATTAATTCATAGTTCGTCTGTGTGTTGGGGGTTATCTTTTCCCGAACCCGAAGCTCCCTTACCGGCTGGAGATGCTCAAAGCTCTCTCTCTCTCTCACTCTCTCATGGTTCGCACCTTTGATACGGCCAAGTGAACTCACCCGTCTCATACCTCGTTGATGGAACCGCATCTTCCAAGATTATGTCTCCGCCTCTGTCCTTCGAGCCCGGCTATGGCTTCCGTAACGCGTCGCAACGCGAAAACGATATGCCCATTCCCACGCCCAACCCGCCAATGACTGCCATATCCACCTTGTTCGTCTGATGATGGTATTGACATGTCAGGTCATGGTTTATATATAGAATTGCAGGCTCCATTCCCCTTCTGCCGAGCTGCTTTCCGTTTTGGAGCTCAAATTCGGATCTCGCGTGGTCCATCCTTTCGCCAAGTGATGGAGAAGTCACTTAGTAAACCATGTCGATCGATACTGAAGAGCCACAACCGCAACCTCCTGACGAGGATTAAACCCTGACTTTCCGGAGATCTCGTCCGTGCTGCGGGATCGGGATCGTAATCTTGATGTGCGTAGTCGCGCCCGCTCTCTTATAGAATCCCGGTGGCGCGGGAGGTGTTTCCGAGCCTCCGTACGCCCTCCGTACCGGACAAATAACGCCGTCGACCTTGTAGGTACTGTTGGCACTGTAGCGTCTCCTTCCACCCGCACGTCGCCATCTTGAGTTGTTGAGTCAAAAAGTTCTCGTCGCGGCGGGCCCGACACATCTCGGTCCGCGCGGCTCTCAAGCGGGATGGGGAAACACAACGCCCGCCGACAAGATTCCGCCCTTTTCTAGCTCTCTCTCTCTCTCTCCTCAAAACCAAGCAAGAGTCCATACAGCAGGCAAGTGAGGCCACCGATCCTGCCACGCAGCAAGGATATCCGGCACCCTCTCATCAAAGCTCGCCCTGCCCGCCGCGCTCCCGCCATCAAACGCCGCGGCACCTACAGCCTCACGCTCCTCGGTCGCCGCGGCGTTCAACGCGTTGGCCAGATCCAGAATTGCGCGCCCGCCGACGCTGGCCTCCTCGTGGTTATCCTTGATATCGACGTTAATCACGTGAACGGGTCTGTTGAGGGGGCTCCCGCGGTTCATGAGGTCGTCAATGACGGCGTCCCAGCAGCGCTCCTCGCAGGTGATGACGATATCGACGACGCCGCCCTCGACGCCGACGCTGCCGCGGTCTTCGGCGTGGGTGAGGCGCGGCATGCCGACCTGCCAGTCCTGCCAGCGTTCGGGGCCCCATTTCACGTGGCGGTTGCGGTCGACCATGTTGAGGACGCCGTTTGCGCGGTAGAGGCGCGTGTCTTTTGATTCGAGCTCTTTGAAGATTGAGTCGTACGAGGTCTTGTTGAATTGATAGACGTTTGGTTGGGTTATGGATGGACCCGGGAGGCGGACGAGGGAGCCTGTGCCGAAGGAGATTACGGGGTAATTTGCTTGGGCGAGGCGGAGGTGGGAGACCATTGATCTGTTTTGAGAGAGTAGGGTTGGTCAGTATACATCTTCTTCGAACTTGGGTCTTGAACACGATGCGGGATGCCGAGCAGTTCCACAGTGACGTGTAGGAGGAGCTCAATTGTGCTCTCTCTCTCTCGTGACAAAGGACCGGGCCTGACGAAGGAACTTGATCGTATCGTACCTATTTTGGTTACTCGCGCACACGGTACAGAATTTGAGCTTGAAGTCGCTTGAAGAAGCAGCAGCAGCAGCATCGTCGCCATTCGCAGGAGGTGCCGTCGGGTAAGCTCCAGCTGGTGCGGCCGCAGCAGCGCCGCCGGTGCCGTTTGCGAACTCCATGACTTCGTGATGATGGATGGTGAGTATGTATGGCGATGGAAAGTGACGATGTTGGGTGGGGCAGACAAGCAAGCTCGATAGGTACGGCACGGAGTATTGTATGTATGAAAGCACGGCGCGGGAGCTCCACGAAGGTGGGAAGTGGATATCAACGGGCGCGCGCGATGGGGAGCGAGTCAAAATGGATGATTATTGGAAGAACGTGGGGCCGTCAAAAAGGATCAATGATGGAATGGGCAGAAGAATGTTTAGGTCAGCAAGAAGAAAAATCCAGCGGGTCGGTTGAGAAAAAAAGTTGAATCGCCGGTAGTTGTCGCTTCAGGTCGTAGAGGTCGTTGTGAAGAAATTTATTCTGTGTCTCCGAATTAGCCAAAATCCTAGAACACCATGTTTTTAGATGCTCGAAGGCATTGAAGAGGTTTGAGCGCGATTTTTCAGACAAAGCGTATAAGGTAATAAAGTGTCTCAACATGGGGAATTTAGACAGCTCCAATAAAAAGAATCTCATCATGGAAAAGCTCGAAAGAGGACGGCCAGCGTTTTTCCTGGCTCGTCGCGAGTTTGATTTTTTTTTTGCTCTTACCTTTTGGGGTGATTTGATCAGCTTCGATCACTGCGTTTGTCAATTCTCCGACTCTGCCTTCCTCAAAAGTGTTCAGAAGTGTCGACGGTGATCTATCTAACCCTCCAGCAATGTTCGTTCGTGGGCTGTTGGAAGCTCCGAGTTCGACACTGGATTTTTAACAGTTGCAAGATGGAAAAGCTTCAATGACGTTCCTTTTGAGTGAAGAATTGGATAGCTCGCTTTCGGCTGAATGTCGGGCCTTGTGAGCAGGGCAGGGCGGGACGGGGCGTCATCGGAATCATGGCCTCAGGCTGAAGGTTCGCTAACGTGAACTTGGGTACCTTATTGCCTGAGGCTCATCTAGGTGCCTGAGCTTCCGTTCCGTACACTGACACCCAAAATGGCCCAACTCACGTGGCTGCTTGCGAGAAGCCAACGTGATTGGCTCTTAGGCGCTCACATATTCTGAAACAGACGACACCTTGGAGGGCACCAATCACGACGACTCCAACATCCCCAACTGCAGATACCGTGCACGGCGTACATTGTCCAGAAATAGAACAGCCGATGAGTATCCGTACAGAGACATCTGATGGCGTTGGAAGCTCAGCCAAAGAGGAACCAGTCCCCAAAATCGTCGAAAACGGTGCTAGTTTGAGCCAACTGCTCGTTTTCGAATGAATGAACAGATGTCATGTGTGCACATAGTTGAGAGTCGTTGCCAGTATTTGGGTACAGCGATCGCGTGCGAGATGGGGGCCCTTGACCGTCTCGTCCAGTCTTTGAAGGATCCACGGGCTAGACCTTCTCCCGGGGGTTTGCAGTCGGCCCATCAACTCTTTGTTGCGGCGCTACTCCGTGCCCTTGGGAGGGCCGCCGCAGGGAAGCAATGGAACTGGATCTGACCATCGGAGAAATATCTGTCTCTCGGAGTTGGCGGGTGGCCTGTGATTCCGTCCGTCCTGAATGTTTGGCTTCGCCCAGCCCAATGCAGCGCTCGCAACTTCCCGCTTCGCCCTAGGCCCAGTCGGGCTGTGCATTATTACTTACGGATACCTTATTCCACTGCAGGATCGCTTGCGTAGCCTGAGGTGCTGGTTGGTCTCTAGATGTAGGTATTCGTTGAGGTGCGGTATTGATGAACCAAGCCCGCCGGCAGACCGTCCAACAGCAGTTGTTGGCGGCACTCCGACAAAGGACGGGATTCGCTGGCGAATGCAGGCGACGATTGCTTACCACCTTACACTTTTCCCGCCCTTCTCTGACCACGACAGTTCCATCGTGCTATTGGCAGTGTCGATGACCGCTGTTTCACACGTGGCCGCTGGCGGCGCAAGATGCAGCCGCTGCAAGTTGCAACAAAGTCGTGTCAGGATGTATCCTGCACGGGAGCCCGCCGATCAACGTTCGAGTTTCGCAACCTCGCCCTATCCGTAGGTACGTATGGGTATTCTCACCCACCCTGGTGACTGAAGACGATACCGCAATTTCGACTTAAGCCCATCCGTCGGCTTGTGGGTTGCCCCACGGTTGGCACTGATGATCGGGAGATGCAGCTAACGAGATAGCGTATGGCCAAGCAAAAGATGGCTGTTTGTGCTTCAGGCTGTCCGTTCACTTGAGATTTCCCAGATCTAGCACCCGGCACCATCGTATAAAGATTTTGAGAATTAAAGTCCAAGTTGGCGAACGCGAATGAGAAGAGCGTGACGCGATGCTGGTTATCAATCTTGTGTTGATGCTCTCTGCCCTGGCTAGGTCTGTTCGCGACTTCGCGCAGCAATCATGGGATGAGAGAGCGATCAACCCACCCTCAGTCAGTCCAGCCCCCCAGCAGGTGTACTCAAAGATTCCCGCTGTTACGGTTCGGACTAAAAAGCGAGACTCATGTCAGTGGACGACCGCTTCTGGATACTTTGTGATTTGCGCCGGGGACGTCCTCGCTAATCAGCTGTGGGCCAGGCTGCTGTCTGACCTTGGTGCGACCTGAACGGGAATCTGCGCCGGCCAATGCTGGAGCACCCAATATTGGTTTTATTGATGACAGCCCGGCCAAAGACCAAGAATAGCATCTGGCACCGCTTTTGCCTTGTTTGAAGCCTTCTTCCTTCTGTATCTGGTGAAGATTCTAGGCCGTTGCCACGGAGAAAGAGTGGGCAAGAACCAAAGCGTCTAGAAAGAATATTCCAATTCACATGTCTCTAGCATTCGCCATTCACATAAAACGGACGACCCCCTGTTTGCTGCCTGCTCGTCCGTTCCGTGTACGCCGGATTACACAGTGGGTACCATGGATAAGTCGGGCCGGAGGTGGTAGCAGTCCTTTGCCCAGATTCCTGCTGGGCAAGACCGGAGATCACGGGCGGCTCTGTGAGGATAAAGTTTGAGCTGAAAACGAGACTGTCTTGGGGGAGGCGGCATCCAGTAATCCGTACCCCAGGCGCGGACGGACGGCCATCATAGTGTCAGGTTTGCCTAATGAAGGGTGTGAGACTGAATAACGGACGGCTGATTCAATTGAGTACTTGCGGGTGGGATATGAAGCAGTGCGAAGCGGCGGCACACGGCCACGCGGGGGAGAGGTCTGCTTCAGCATCCCGTCCTTAGTGTGCGCGTCCGTCGGTACAGTCAGGCTTTTGGGTTGTAACCGCGCCGGCGGCGAACGCGTAGGCACAGTGATCGACAGGGAAGACGATGTGAGGCTGGCGAAGGGATCCCCTTGAGATGATGGCACCGTTGTAGAAAGAAAAAAAAAGGGGGGGAACTGTGAAGTGCGTAATGAGTATCTACTTCGTCGCTCCATGATAGTAGATCCGCTGAGGGCGAGAGCACGACGGGTATACTGAAGCCACCCCGACTGCTAGACAGATGTAGATAGCTGCGGGAAGATGAGAACCCGTCTGTGGGCCGGGGCAACGACTGCAACCAGACATGAGCAGCAATCAAGTGAGGAACATGAGGCAGTACAAACCAAGGTAGGTACCTCGTCTGCAGTCCCACTGACAGCCCAATGTACCTTGAATTCTGCACGGCGAAGGAGGACGTATTCGTACACAGACGGGGGACATGAAGTCCCCGTGCCCTGCCAGCGCAGGCGAACGACTGAGTGCGCTTGTGTGGACGACAGAGGAGAGAGGCAGGCGCAGTGGCAGACGTAATTGAGATTTGAGGTTGCCCTGGGGCGTGTTGAGGTTTGCGGTCTTGGCGTTACCATGTTGGACCAGAAGGATCCCTGCAAAGAGCTGCACAGCATCTGAAGAGCATGGAGCTGTTACTGTTTTCCTGACAAGTCTCCAGAATATGATACCCACGGCGGCGTGGAGGACGACGGAGGATATGCCGTTCCAGTTCAGATCTGACATTGGCAACCATAAGGTAAGTAGTGTATGTACGAAATGTACTTGTAGAGTGGCATGGTAAGGTAGGTGTCCGTGATAGAGAAGAAAGAGGGCAAAGAGCATTCCTTCCACACCGGATACGGATAGAAATTCAGTCAGTTGACGCCTGCCGATTGCAGAGGACGGGAAAGAAAAAGAGACCCCGATTGTTGGCGCTGACTCGATTTGGGGCCACAGTTGGGGCTTCTCTCATTCTGGCATTGGCACTGGCATCTGCTGGCCGCTGTGTTCGAGTTTCTTTGAGAGTTCGCCGCCATAATTAATATCGATCCGGATTCAGCCCCCCGCCCTCTCTCCCACTCTCGCATCTGGGCTATGCCTTCCAATGCCTGACGCACTCCTGGATCCTGCGCTATCGTTGCTCTTGGTCCCGCCTGCTGCCGTCAATTGTTTATTGCCGTGGCCTCTCCTTCAACTGTTGGATCTCACTAGAAGAAAGTCATCAGCCTCTCCCCCTCTCTCTCAAGGTTCTCCCAAGAGTCCTAATCCATATCTCCTTCTCCTCTCTTTCTCTACCGCTCTCGGTCTCTTACTCACGCCCGCTTGTTGTGCTGGCCTTTGTCTCCCCTCCCATCCATTCCCCCCCCCCTTCTCTTCTCCCCCCCCCCCCCCCCCCCCTTCCGTATTGACCCTCCCCACCCCCCCCCCCCCCCCCCCCC